CCCCCCGAAATAAGAGGTGGGAAAAGTATAATGGAGGAAGATGTGATGTACAGTGTTTAATAAATTTATTAGACCACCTGTTATAAAAAAAAACAACAAAAAACATTAGATCAGAGTTATATCATTATTTATGAGGCAAACTGAATTCATCTTTTCACAGCCAAATGTGAGCCGGCACTCTGGAGTGCTGTGAGTGGAAGTCAGAAATAAATCAATCAACATTCAACCACAAGCTTTTCTGTTCAGAAATGCATGTAAATGACTCTAATTTGGCATCTTAATCAAAAGATATCATGCTTTAATTTTGTTCTTGTAAAACAGTAAATTTCCAAATTCATGGATAACAAAAACAAGTATATTTTAGCATTAGAAATATTTTGATTCAAAAACTTGCACATTCTGCTACAGAAATGAATAAAAGAACAAATTTGTTAATTACCAATACTGATTACTTATGCAGCTGTGGCATAAACCTTATGCTGGGAGGTGGACTAATAAATTTAGGCGCTGTGTCTGAAGAATGTAACATCTGTGTGAGGAAATAAGGTTTGATTGTGTGCATCCCAGCTCCTTTCACTCACAGTTGATGAAAACAGTTTCCCAGAATTCTCCTTAGCTCTCCACTACAGTTGGATTAAAGGGAAATGAACAATAACATTAATGTTCTCACCTGGTATCCACAGTCTCTCATTTTAGTGCAGCACGAATTTAAAATTAGCCGCCTGCTGTTGAGGTTTATCGTACATCATTGCGTCTGTGCTGCCCCGCATCAGAGCAACTTGGATGCACAGCGACGAGCAGCTCGGCTTCTGATTGTGTGCAGGGTCTTAAATTAATCTCACATCACATTTTCTCCTGACCTCAAGTAAATCCTCAATTATTTTTTTTTCCTGATTTTATTTTGGTCCATCAGTCTCTTCACGTCACTGACCAGAGTCCAGATCATTTCTAATAATTCCATTCACAAGTAAACTACAGATAATGCGTTGACATCAACATTACAACATTACATGTACTTCTGGGAATAGTTAACCTAATGCCACAAACTATGGAAGTTTGATTGAACCATGGCTTTAGATGGTCTGTAACCGGTTCATTATTGTCCTGAGTGTATTTGGGAAGATTATTCTTGCTCATATAACTGTTTCTTTCCAAGCATGCAGTGCTGTGTAACATTAAACACAAATAACATTCAGCACTAAAGTTTTGTGGATGAAGTGCAGCCCCATAGAGCTCAGCTCGCCTTCAGGATTAACTTCAGACCCTGGTTTCTGATTTTGATTCTTTAACATTTGTTTTTTCCTCTGTTTTAATGTTTGTGTCCAGACTTTTGTTTGTTTTTATTGTGCCATACCCATTTGGGTGATAGTGCCTAAAGAAATCTGAATGTTTTTTGTTATTGTACATGACAGTATGTCACATGGAGCTCATCGGTTTGTGTATGGTAGCCAACGCTTCAGCATGTGGCTTAGAGTGGTTAGCAATTAACAATAGTCCACGTGTCTGTATAATTATTAAGCATTACTGAGTCATGATGTTATCAGGTTATTTGTCCTTTCTGACAGCAGAAAACCCAAAAATATTCAGTCTGCAGTGAAAGAAAGCATTTGAGAGCAGATAATGCTGACTCACTACTTTTTAAAATTCTTGGCCGATAAGTTCTGTGCTTTAGATCCATTTCTGTCCAATCATCATGAAGGTCATCAGCTTTTTTAAGTCTAAGTCTGCTGATGATACAAAACAAAAATTTTGCTTATTTGATTCAAAAGAGGCAGACTGATTGGCCCTGTGCTGAGTTAAACTAACAGGGCTACAACCTGATTTCAATTTACTGGACAGATTTGTGGTAAAACTTTGTAAATCTGCAACAGAAAACACAACAGGTGAATAATTATGCCTTTAAATTACGTGCAACTTTTACAGCTGTCACCACAGGGCAGACAGGACCCACTGTGTGCGACAGAAACTGTGGCCACCTGTGGTGATTTATTCCTGATCACCCAACTTGTGTGCTGAAGCGTTGGTGGCTGAATCTGGAGCTCAGGTGAATCCTGTAACCTAAAGACTCTTTAAAAACCAAGTTTTTAGCCCTTCAATGACAGCTCAGTGCTCAAATAATTTACTTTCATCATTCAGTGCAATCAGCCCAGTGTGAATGCTCATTACGTTTAACCAGAATGTGTCTCTGCAGCACTTTAGAGGGGTGGAAGCCCTGTCCACAGGGATGTTTGTTAATAAAAAATAATCCAAGGCAGCGAATTCTCTCGAATCTCCTGAGGAGTGTATTAATGCAGCTGCAAGAGGACCCCCTCATCATCAGCAAACGTGAAATGGATTTGGCATCCCTGCTGTGATAAATAATACTTGTATCAAATGAATAAACATTTGGGGAAAAAAATCAGTTTCCTGTTTATTTCCACATGTTTGTTACAGTTGTGATGAACAGTTGAAGATGGAAAAGGCATGATGTGACATCTTATATGGAAGCTTATCAAGAAGTTGAAAGGTTTGCTCAGGGAGGGATTCTTACAGGAAACTAAAAGATAAGTGATGAGGTTGCAGAGGTGGAAGCATAAAGAGTAGTGATGTAGCCAGAGCTGCCTGACAAAGAAGAGTTCCCTGAACACAGAGGAAGGGTAGGTTTTATAGAGGATCAACTGAGCGCACGTGTCTCCAATTGACCTGAATGTTTGGCCCTTCCCATCTGCTTCTGTTTGGAAATAAACTGATGAGGTAGGTAAGCAGACCATAACATTGCTAAAAACCCAATATTACTTGGCCCTACGTATAAAACATATGAATATATAATATTTTTCTTGTTTGAGTCCAGGAAAGTAATATCGCTCCCTCTTTGGTGTCCAGAGCCTTTACTCAGGGGCTCTGCCCAAATCCTGAAAAGTGGCAAGAGTGAGACAAGAACAAAGAAGCCTTGGCAACAGGCATTGACCAAAATGAGGCATCCATCCCTCCGTGACACTGACACAGCTACATCATCAACTGTTTTGTTATAGCTATGTTATAACTATTAACTATTTTGTCTCAGGTGTAACAGTGTTAATTGCATTTTTTATATTTATGGTCACTTTTAATTTAATTCACATCGTGACACAATGTTCAAGGTGAAATGAACTCAAGGTTGGATTATTTTAATATTTGAATTAAAAGTTGTTTAAAGCATCTTCCTCCTACCTTTATTTGTATATCCCAGGTTTGGCCACACCTCTTCTATATATGAAGCTAAAACGACTTGTGCAAAGCATACACCTTTGCATCTCTTAGTTATAGCCTCCTGTCTCCTCTCAGCACAGAAATTAGTACTGAGACTGATTTTGATGTTGGAGGACAGGCAACATCAAATAAATATGCACGTATATATGACTTCTATTTGCTATTACGTGATATGTGTGTGACAAATAAACGGATCTGGAATCTTAAAACAAGCACTAATTTGATAAATACCAGTAAAGTTAACCTTCAATATATAATCACACATGTCATACATAATCATACAATCATACATAATGTGTGTGTGTGTTATAAATGTTACAAGTTCAACTCATGTTTTCACTCATTTTGTATGATGATATCTGGTAAACTGACAGTCCAGAGCTTGATCGGAATGAGGATTGGAAACATATTTCTTAATGGATATGAAAAAGTTTGAAAATTAAACTTGCCGTCAAACATAATACAGAAACAAAAATTCTATTGTGGCATACTAGAAACCCCCCCCCCCCCCCCCCACAAAGTGCCATTTTCCATTGACAACTTGAATGTGTGTTGCATAGGAAATAATGTCAAAGTTCACAGATTAAATTTAAAAAAATGAATGAAAAAGTAGTGAATCACACTATTTATGTATTTATTTATCTATGTATGTTTTGCCGTATTGGTCTTCCATACCTGACGCCTGCGCGGCTCCGTGTCCTTGGATATTTCTACCCCCATTTTCTACTCTCCCGCCTCCTTATTTGTTTGACCACTGTGATTGGCTATTCGAAATGACACGTTCCAATCAACCTATGTTGATTGGTTAAAATCCGCCAGCTTCCACTTTCACGTCACTCCAGTTCGACAGAGGACAGGTTCAAGATGGCAGCGTCCCTGAGGTGCTTTCTCCGCTCCGGAAAGGTATGGATTAAATCGATGTTTTTAAAGCACTGTTTGGTCTTTCTGGGAGTGTGATGTTCGTGCTTCTTCTCTTTTCTCTTGCAGAATACCGTGTCAGCTCTGCAGCGGCGGGAATTTCACAGGAGCGCTCCGGCCGCAGTACAGGTCAGTGTTAGCAACTAGCAGGCTAGCTGTTTCTACAGCGAATGATGTCGGTACATATAGTTTTGATTGCACAGACAACAATAACAGGCTGAAAACTGGGTGGGGGCTTGTTTTAGTGAGTAGCTGCATGTTTTAAATACGTGTGTTAAGGGTTTAGGGGTCGTGCTGTTGTGCGGTCACTGAGCAGAGGGATGCGGGTTTACATCACATCAGCCCTCATCGCGCTGACAGCTGTCTCACATTAACATAAATTGCTGTCAGGAGTATGAGGGGAAAACGATTGAAACAAAGCTTAAGCTCTGAAACAATGCAGGCAACAAAATGCACACTTTTTAAGCAGAACAGCAAGAAAAATCCTGAAATTTGGGGTATTTTAAACTGCAAAACGAGAAGTGCTGTTGAAATACTCATGTCACTGTCTTTAAATATTGTAGCTGTATCTGGGCTTGCTCGTGTATCGGGTCTCTTTCAAGCAGTTCCTTCATAATTGGCGGGAGGTCCAAGGGATCCTCAAGGAGTTTGTGTTTGCTCAGACACATGAAAAATTAGAGGGAACATTGGTTGTAACATTGACATAATACTGTGCACTCTAGGGCAGAGTAGCGGACAAGTTTAAATCAGAGCTGTGATTTTTTTTTAAGTCGTCATTAAATCGGTGACAAAATTAAGCAGATTTAAACAATTTCTACTTGTGTTGGATACAAATAACTACCAAGAATGGCTTTTAGGTTCTGAACTAAAACCTCCAGTCTTCTGATAGGCACTTGAGACTAAAGTCTCCTGAATGTTTACAGTCTTATGTGAAACAGGTTTTGGATGGAGAATTGCTATTGTGGTGTCCATAAGTTACATTTTACTTCAGTTTGTGGAAGGAAGCGTTCTGACCTGTACTGATGGTTTTGTTGCCACTGTTAGATGACAGTCCGTGATGCCCTGAACCAGGCAATGGATGAGGAGTTGGAGAGGGACGAGCGGGTGTTCCTGCTGGGTGAGGAAGTCGCCCAGTATGACGGTGCCTACAAGGTAAGTTTAAAGCTCAGACTGCAAGTGAAGTTCCTGGAGGCAGTTTGTGTTCTGTCCCAGTGAGGGCAGTCAGACTAATGGTGGTTACTGGTGCAGGTGAGCAGAGGACTGTGGAAGAAGTATGGAGACAAACGAATTATTGACACTCCAATCTCAGAGGTGAGATACAAATGGCCTGCCCAACAGATGTTTTCCACAAATCTAAGTATCCCCACTGGTGGTGTTGGACTCATTTTAGTAACTTTTTGTTTTTGGTGCAGATGGGGTTTACTGGTATTGCAGTGGGAGCTGCTATGGTAAGTCTGACATGTTCCTGATGGGATATATTAAACACTGACTTTTGTAACAGTTTTACTTGAGTTTGTCTAGAATGTCATTCTAAACACTGAATAATAACTTGGTCAAGAATTACCTGAGATAATGGGCTTAAGTTCAAGATCTTCATAATTACACTTGAATTCTAAGCAGTAATTCAGTTCTGTGCACACTTCGCTCTCTACAGACCTGAATTATGGCTCCATTGCCCGCCAAATTGGCTTCACACTGCCAATAAAGCAGTACACGGGCAACTCCCAAGCTACCTTGACCTGTATAATAAAGCACTTTTCCTACCTTGAAGCCATAAATGCCAAAATAAGAGTTCCTTTAGACCAGAATGCTTCAAAGTACAGATTATGAAAGTTCTTCAGATTCACAAACTACCTGATTATTCTTAAAACTTGCAAGTGACAAATTCCCTAACAAGATCAATGTCCTCTTGCAGGCTGGTCTGAGACCCATCTGTGAATTTATGACCTTTAACTTCTCCATGCAAGCCATTGACCAGATCATCAATTCTGCAGCAAAGACCTACTACATGTCAGCTGGGCTACAGTCAGTCCCAATTGTTTTCAGAGGCCCTAATGGAGCATCAGCAGGTGTCGCTGCACAGCATTCACAGTGCTTTGCTGCATGGTGCGTTCAAGACGTCACTTTACTGTTTGCAGTAACTCTAGCTGATGTTTGGCAGCTCTGACGTCAGTGTGGTCATTTGTCTCCAGGTACGGTCACTGTCCAGGACTGAAGGTTGTAAGTCCATGGAACTCAGAAGATGCTAAAGGCCTCTTGAAATCAGCCATCAGAGATGAAAATCCTGGTGAGATGCCACACTGAAACTCTTAAAACTTGGACAGTAACCCTGCATATCAATGTTCAGGCACTGCTAGCTCCAGTTGATTACAAAGTTTTTAATTAAACAAGCTAGCTGGTCCCTATGTGTCTCAGCCAAATGTCAAACAGTAACTCAAGCATTATTGGACTGCAACTGACTAGTCCTTGTTCTGCTCTGGAGGCTAACTTTAACACAACAAATGCTTCTCCCAGCTACAATCAAGGCACTTGTCCCTCATTCACAGGATGAGGTGCTACCAGGAGAAGCAGAAATTATTCCCCTTATAGTTTGAAAGTATTTAAAATGGCATAAACATCAGCTGAAAATGCAGCTTGAGTGAGTTTGTAGCAGCCTGGCTGTTCAAACAGACATGTGAACTGAATCTGTCTGCAGTGGTGGTGCTGGAGAACGAGCTGCTGTATGGCGTTCCCTTTGAGATGTCAGAGGAAGCGCAGTCCAAAGACTTCACCATTCCCATTGGAAAAGCAAAGATTGAGAGACAAGGTGAGTGACAGAACACCAGGATCTGGATTCTAGGTTTTTAACACTGAGGCTTTAAAACTAATTTCTGAACATGTCGTTTTCAGGCAATAGCGTCACCCTCGTTGCTCACTCTCGGTATGTTGGTCACTGCCTGGATGCCGCAGCTGTCCTTGCCAAAGAGGGAATAGAGTGTGAGGTAATGCAACACCTATTGACTGGCGGAGCTAGACTGCTCAGCAGCCTCTTAACCATTTCTTGTCTGTCAGGTGATCAACCTTCGGACCATCCGACCCATGGATGTGGAGTCTATTGAGACCAGTGTGATGAAGACTAATCACCTGGTGACTGTTGAGGGTGGCTGGCCTCAGTTTGGGGTTGGAGCAGAGATCTGTGCCAGGATCATGGAAGGTAATCTAAGCTCCAACTAATTTGAAAAATTAGCAGTCATAACTGGTTCCCTTACACTCCTAGATCTGGATGTTCAGGAGCCAAAGCACAGATGACACATATTGGGATTGACGCTGTAATGATTGCTCGTGTGTTTACTAATAGCTGTTCAGTCTGAAGTCCAAACCTCTAATTATTTCAGGCCTCAAGACTAACATGCCTTTAATTTCTCAGGTCCTGCCTTCAACTACCTGGATTCTCCTGTTACCAGAGTAACTGGTGTAGACATCCCCATGCCATACGCTAAAATCTTGGAGGACCACAGCCTGCCGCAAGTCAAAGACATAATCTTCTCTGTGAAAAAGACCCTCAACATCTGAGACCCTCATCCACCGGAGTCCTTGTTTACAGATGGTGGCAAAATATCTAATGTGTAAATACCGCCAAACGCTCCAGATGTTGAACAATGCGCACACAGCTGTGTAGCTCAGAGCAGTGGACACCGTCTCAGTCATCCCAGCACCTATGTGTTAACTTTGTTACTAACTTGACTTAACTGTCTGTGGCTCTGGCTGCTCTCTTGCACTTTTCCCAATTAAAAAAGAAAAATGTATCGTACAATCTGTTGGCTGTAATTTATTGTCAAGTTAAATTTTTGACTCTTCCCAAAGTTTACCAATTAGTCTGGACTCTAAAGGCTGTAAAGTATCTGTAAACTGTTCTCGGCTATTTGCTTTCAATTACCCTTCTCAAGAAGTTCTTCAGATTTGGATAATCATTTTTATTTTTCCACTCTTTATTCAGCTGAACTGGGATGAAAGTCATCCTGCTGCTGCCTTTAAAACGCACAGTTCACTTAACTTCTCAGACTTGGGTTTGTCTTTAAAAATGGGAAAATGGCTGTGAGCTGGAAATATTTAATGTAGCGGCTCATTTCTGTTGACTGTTACAGAAATAAACTTTGATCCTCATGTTTGGTTTGATTTACTACATCTACACCATCCTGCCCACAGTTAAATTGTTTGACCAGATTTGCACTAACGATCTCATCTTGAGAGAAACCCATGGAAACTGAAGTTTCTGAAGACACTAGAGTAATCTGAACTAAGATTGAAATATGCTGGCTGAGAAACTGCAGGTGGACTGTTACTGTGACAGATTAAAATTGTTGGAAAGAGGTCCGAGTGATGGGGAAAAGATTTAAAGAAAACTTGCCAACCCAGAATGTGAGCTCTGTTTTTATCCAGAGGAACTTTTTAAAAAAAAAATTTTATATAGGACAAAACAATGGTATTGTGGGAAAAGACTTAAGGTTAAACACTAAATAGCAACAAAATTCTTTCCACTAGGTCAAATGTTGAGAGGCCTGGACCAAACTCCATAAAGGTCCAACTTCAGATTTTATTAATCCTGTGAGGCCTGAAGTGAAGTGCTTTCTAACATTCACACATCAGGGAGAGCTTAGAGTTTAGTATCTTGCCCAAAGACACGTTGGCATGCAGACAGCAGCCGCCGGGAATCACACCACTGACCTTCCAATGAGCACATGATCTGTCTCCTAAGAAAGCGCCACCTTGGGCTCAGAGTCATGACTGGGACCTTACAAGGTTAATGAAGTGCAGTTACTCATTGTATTATGATAACAGAAAGTGTGTTGATAGTTTAAATTATTGATGGAGTTCAACAGCTCTGAAAGAAGAATACTTTCAACTGTTTGTTATCCAGTGGTTTTACTGGTTGAGATTAAAACTGGTTCATGCAATAGAATCAGTCACACAGTGTCAGCCAGTTTTCCCGACTTGGATTAATCCTCGTCCTGGACTAAAAGCAAACTTAGAAGATTAAGATTTTTTTTATTCTAGGGTTAGGTTTCATCCACACCTGAGAAACAGAGCCTCAGTGAATTTGTACATTTTGGTTTTGAGGACACTCAGTCTGCAGGAGAACCCACAGGCCCAGGGTGCACCTTATACTGGTGCCCAGTTCAGATAAAAAGAGGAGAGTTGTGTTGGGAAGGGCATTGGGTGCATGATTCATGATCTTTATGCAGATTAAAATAATTCTGGTCAAAGTCCTGGATGGAGGCAGATGATGTGCTGTCACAACCCAGCAACTGTTTATGTGATGTGGATTAAAAAGATGCATTATGCTAATTTCCAGGTCTGTACTTTTGACCGTTTATCAGAACCTCAGTACATCTTGTCTAAACAGTTTCCTCATTGTGGGAGCCAGATGAGGGGCAGCCAAAGAGAATTTGGTGCCTATTAGCTATGCCATAAGCTATGCTATTCATTATTTATAAATTGTTTAAATATATACACTGGTATAGTGTGTTCATATCTGACAGAAAATAGGGAAAAACATCACGGATACCCTTTAAGAGCAGCAATAAACAAGAGTCAGTGAAGCCTTAAACATTTTTATTGGTTAACTTTTTGCAGTAAGAATCTCAGTTTCAGACTCGCTGTGCTTCCCCTGTCTGAGCGCCAGATCTGAGATCAGTCGGAAAACACAGCGATCCACAACTTAAACATAAAAATAAAAACCATCTCTGAGACTCTGAGAAACCCCAAAGGACCAAACCTCGTTACAAATCAGAGTGAGTTACAGAGTGTCCTGCTTCAGGAAGCTCTCAGACTGAACTGAGTAAACAGATCATCATTTATAAACTCTTAAATGTTACAGGTCTTTGACTTTGTAATAATCCCATGAAAAGAACATCACACTCTGGTTCAAATTACAGTTACAAAAAAAAACAAAAACCCCAAACCTATCTAACATTCATTTCCACTGTAATTAGGACCGAAGTGCAAAAAATTATCTTTTCTGAAACTTCTTAGTAAACTTCACTGAAATTACAGTCTAAGGAACTTTTTTTGGTATTTATCCCATCTTTAAAGGCTTTTTACACATTTCCCATTGTGTTCATGTCATGCCAAAAAAGTTCCTCTAAAAGCTCTGATACATTAAACAATCTCCTGAAAACCAAACATAAGGACACTAACTACCACTGAAAGTCTGTTTTAATGGTTACTCAGTGGCTATGATGTCTGCAGGCGCCCCAATCTGCAATCCTGCCATCGGTCCAGCATGACACGAAGAAACGATGCATAAAAGCTTCGCTGTGCATCGAACAAGCACACCAAAACCTTCGATCGCTTCAGTTTGGTTCATCAAAGCTAACAAAAAGTCCAGGTCCTTTTCTCGGGTGTGGATCTACTCAGCTCCCAGCCTCAGTCCTTTGAGACGTCACAGTGTTCAGAATCAAACTCGCACAATCTTCTCCTGCCAGTTTGTAAAAATAAAGATGGCGTAACAGCAGCAGGATTAGAAAATTTTCACCTCCTGATAGCTCTGACAGTCCAATGAACACGGAGTCCACGATGGTCACTGATGGCTTTAGTCAAAGTGTTTGAGGATATCCAGTCTTTCTGAAGCTAAAAGTGCAGCTTGTACCCCCCTCTCATGCATTTTACGTGGCATCACAAGCACGGTTTAATTTTTTTTTTTTGTAAGAGTAACTGTGTAATTACAGGGAAGTGCTTTGAGATTCAATAGATATCCAGAATTTAAGAAAAACTCTGTGGAGGGAACTGCTCGGACTTTACTGAAAGGTAAGGTGTGTTTCAGTGTAAATCTTATGAGCAGAAAAAGATTCAGTGTTATGAGAATCAAGCCATAATGTGATGAGAATAAAGTCAACAGAAAAATAACTTTTTGTTTTACATGAGTCTTTTGAGTAATGTTACATTTTTTAATTACTCATCTAGACCACAATTAGCCATATTTGCAAGCAGCAGCCTCAAAGCTAAAAAAAACAAAGCCAAGCCAAGTCAAAGAACTGCAGTACTCCTACTGGCCACTTGAGGCTGTCTCCAAACGCGAGCCAATCCCCATAGAGTCATATGGTTAAATGGATGACTTTACAACAAATAAAAACATGTTTTGGTCTGTAATGGATAGTTTTCCACTTTGTATCGACTTTACAAGCAGTGGGTTTTGATAGAACTCATATTTTTGGAGATTGTTAGGCATACAGTTAGAGTGGGAAGGTACGGAAAAAAAAAGCCAGGTGTAACCAATCGCTGCCTGCTAGGCCTCACTTGTGCTAATCTGAGACTCTGAAGTGGTCCTAGCTGCTCTATATAGAGCTTTTGGATGACTAACATTAGAGTTTTGGTGAATGGAATTTGGCAGTAAATCAATGAACTAGCTTAACAGAATTTCCTGAAAGAGAGCGCTGTTCAATGTTTACCAGCATCTCATCTTCTGCTACTAAAAGTTCAAAATACTATAAAGAGAATATTTGGGTTTAATGTGAAAACTTGTGACCGAGTGCAAAACACAAGTGCACGATCAACTAACAAATAATCAAAACAAAATTACTTTATTCTCATAACATTTATTTTCTGTTGCTATATTGGACTTTACTAACATAATATTTCAATATCATGTGGAATAATTACTTTAATCACCCAGTGTTTTTACCCTTTTATTCTCTAGGTCATTGTACTTCATCCCGTTGCTGTTCTTGTGATTTGAGCCAAATTTGTTATTTTCCTTTTTAAATCTGAATTTTTTAAAATTTGCTATGAGGTGCAATGAAAGGAAGAATTTGTTGATTTTCAGTCATAATTAATCAGCTGTGGGTGTTTTGCTGTTACTCACATTGGAGCAGTTTTTGTGTTCTTGGGCTCAAACTGAAACAGAACATTTATATTAAAGCTCTTATTACTTTCCCTCTACAGTTACTAACCATGCCAGGGAAGAGGGCGGGGACTCTGTGCTGCTCTCTGATTGGAGGAGGGGCCTGCAGTCTTAAGGAGCTGACAGATCTGATCGTCCGACCTCCGAGTGTCCCTTCAGCAATCCGAGCCTCACAACCACCACCCTCTTCTTTTTCTGCTCTGAGTCCTCATCATCATCGTCGTCATCCTCCTCCTGCTGCTCCTTCGCCTTTCGTTTCACTCTCTCCTTCCTCTTCTCCTCCTTCCTCTGCTTTTTCGCCCTCTTCTTTCTCTTCTTTTCTTCTTTTTCCTCCTCTGCACGATCCTCCTCAACTTCTTCCTCCTCTTGCATCCCGTCCTGCACTTCCTCTTCAACTACCTCCTCTTCTACTGCCATCACCATTTCCTCCTCTTCCTCCTCCTCTTCATTGTCATCATCTTCCTCCTCCTCATCTTTCTCTTCTTCCTCTTCCTCTTCCTCCTCATCTGTCATCACTTCTCCCATCTGTTCTTTCAGTTGCTCTTCTTTAGCGTTCATCCCGGCGTCTCCATCCTGTGTCGATCGATAGAAACAGTCAAAAACAGCGCCGGTGTGGTCAAAAATATCACTTTAAGAGTTTAAAGTATGTTTACAGCTAGCTGTTTGAATTTCATGTTAAATGACCAATCTAACATTTTTCTAAATGTAAACAAATCACATATAAAGCTTGGATTCCCTCGTCCCCATACAGCAATCATCATGAAGTCCAATCATTTGTGCTGAACATTTGATGCTATGATAAGTATTCACAACATTCAAACCACTGTAATATCCTCAGTGAACTTTTCTTCGTGTCTTCCCCACAGCCACTGAATAGTCATGGCAAGAATTGTGGTCTTAAAATAAAAGGGAAAAACAAAATTAAACTATAATGTATAGAAGTTGAGACGAGCATTAGCACCTCCAAGTCTCGGAGCAGAAAAGGGTGAAAAGTTGCTACGCCAAGTGGCGGAGTTCAAGTATGTCAGGGTGTGTCTCATGAATGAGGCGAACAGGGGATTTGTGCACGGGTTTGTTTTGGTGACAAGTTAGCGAAGTATAAAAACCAAGCTGTAAATTTTCTGGTGGAGCCACATTCCTACCCTCACTTACGTCTACAAGCTGTGGGTACTAACCAAAAGGGTGAGATCCCACATTCATGCAGCAGACGTGTCTGCGCTTTCCCTTAGAGATGTGGGAGGGGCTCAAAGTAGAGCCAGCTGAAGGTGTTCAGCGTCTGACCAGGATGCCTCCCGGTTCAGAGGTTATGTTATACTGGGAGGAGACCCTGAGGCTGAGCCACGACACATTGGCTTGGGAATGCCTCACTGGTTGTGGTGGCTGGGGAGTGGGAAGTCTAGCCCCCAAGAGCTGGACCAACAAAATGACCAAAAAAAATGCAAGAATGGATGGATGATTTTATACGAGGATGCAGATTAGTCCAGGCCTTTATAATCAAGGACATGTTTATTTTACAGATTCATTAAAGCATGTGAATTAAACACATGTCTGGTTAAAAAAATAAAGCACAGCCCAGAGGACTTCAAACATCCCCGACGTTCTCACAGTACCTGACCCCACAGAGCACCTGCAGGGTCACATAATCACTGTCTTGAAGTATTTTGGTGGCATGAAGAGTTTCATTTTTAAAACTTGCTTGATTCTATAGTTCACACATTAGTTCAATCTCAGCCACGTCGATACAGATTGCATATTTATCTTGTTTTCAGTCCAGCCCTACCGGTGGTGACACTCACCATGTCTTTGCCATTTCGCAGTCTGTGCAGCAGCAACCTGACGGTGTCTTTGTTCTGGCACAGGCCCATAGTGTTGAGGATTTCAAGGGCGGACCCGGAGCAGCCCTGCAGGCGGAGCTCAGCCCCCAGAGCGGCCTGCAGGAAGTTGTTCTTCCAGATGTTCCTGGTGAAGAGAGGGATGGAGAGCGCCACCACAGTCCGTCGCTCCAGCAGCATGAAAGCCTGCTCCTCTGTCAGCTGGCTGTTGAACAAATAAAGCAAATTCAAACTGTTGACCCATGTTTGCTTGGATGAGATGAAGTCTTAGTACTGATGTAAAAACATTCCGAGTCAAACTTACCTGTTGCTCTTGTAGAGGGCATTGATGTCTGGGAACAGTGAGCGGAGGCACGTGGTGACAAGCGGAGCCTTTTCCTGAACCCAGTTCACACATCGCCGCCAGGGGAAGGACGACAGCGGTTTTTTCCCAGATACCTTCTGATGGAAGGGATTGTCTGACAGTCGCGACAGCGTCTTCATCTAAAACATCACCGGGAAACACAAGAATGTAGGCAGTCACGATTACAAAAACAGCTACCAGTTAAGAAGACATCAAATACGAGATGTCAGGAAGCTTCTTTCCTCACCTCATTTTTCAGCTGTTTGCTCCAGAACTCCATCATGGGTTTCCGGGCACCTTTAGAGGACCAGAGCATTTGGAAAGCAGCTTTGTAGCTGGACTTGCTCACAAGCAGCGCTGCTTTGCTCTTTTTCCCCATCCTGCAACCTGCCGCCTTCTTATCATTCACCTGCGACTACACACACACAAACAGAGTAAGTGTGTTTTTAAAACACCAACACACCAATGACAACTTCAAAAAATGTGCTTACAAAAGCATTTGAGTACAAGATTTGTGATTCGGCTTGGAAAATCTGAAGTGGATTTTTTCACAGTTTTAACAGACAACATTTATCAAGGAAGTAACTGACAGAGAAAAACTGTAGAAGGCAGAAATGCAGAAAAAATAAGAGGAAATTGCAGATTTTGATGGCAGACAGAGACTGTATATAAAGAACAGACATGATGTCACCAACTGGTCAGTGAAGGTTATGAAACCTGCACATATGGTAACAAGTTACCAATTACACAGCAAATCCACCATAAAACATAATCTTATTGTCCTTTTTCCTCGCAATGATGAGAAAACTCCAATTTATAAATAAATATCATGATGAATTAAGTAAGAATTGAACCTAACAACTGAAAAAGCAAAAACTTCTGTAAAGTTTTTATTGAGATCAAACATTACGTAAAACAAAGAGTCATTTCCCCTAGTTTTCCATACACTTTAAATTTTTGATTTATTTATTTATTTAAAATCAGAGTCGTCGCCCCATGCTGTCCAAGAAAAACAATGTAGGGCTTAGGTTTCATACCCGGAAGTTGCATCCCTCTACCTGCAGCTTTACCTTTTTATCTAAGGCCCTTCCAACAGATGAACATATGCTTCATATGTCTAAAAATAAATCAAAGCTGACTTCTGTCTGTACGAAGGATTCAAACCACTTTTGATAAACTACCAAAACAGTACTCTGAGCAAGGACTCTAGTCTATGGGACAGAAAAGTAGCTATGAAAAGAATATGAAGAAACAACTGCTATGTCCAAAAATGCAAGTGTTTTGCTTTGAAGCACTATTAGCTGCAGCTCAACTAAGGTTAGACCATACTTTTTGTTTTATGAATTTATACCACAAGACAGTGCATTGGGTCAACCAGGTAAGTAATTTGGGCCACAATGGTAATGATAACCTAAGGAAAAAGTAGAGCCCCTTCAGAAGATGGTGGTGAGACTAAAAGGAAACAACTACAAACCCAGGAGCTCATGTTCAAAAACATCAGCAGATTTCACTGTGAAATGCTGCCCCCTGGTGGGAAGGGGGATAATTGCAAGCGGTACCTGTATCCAAAGGGGAAATACCTGCTGCCCTACACGTGCTTATATACACAATAGAGAAGCTGAACTTTCACACCATCTGTCACACACACCGGTTTGGTCGGAGGCGGCTTTAGCCACAGATTCCGTTTCCCGCTCTGTTTGCGTTTGCATTTGCTCCGGATCACCTGTGCGCACGTCTCGCACAGGAAGGACTTTTCGTGGACCACGCAGCCCGGGAAGGCCCAGTGCACAGTCTCCGGGGAGGTGAACGTGTACACCGCCCTCCGGTTGAAGGACCGACCGTGCCGCTCGAACTCGAGCCTGCAGCAGGAGCAGTTTTTGTCCTCCGGCCGCCTCACTCGCCGCGGACCTCCGCGATGGACCGCCGGAGCAGCCAACTGAGAGTCTTCAGTCTTTTGGGGGTGTACTCCGGTCTGTGCCTCCACTTCATTCCCAACAGGGCAGTCTACCTCTGCACCCACAGTGGGTTCTGGAAGCTCCATTTGCAGGGACTCAGAGGGCTGCACCAGGACGCTCTGCATGGGCTCTCCCGGAGGATCGGTGGAAGAGCTCGCCAAGTTTGTGTCTGCAGTGTGGGCATAGTCGTGCTCGTTAGATTCGGCTGAGGGACCCGTTTCCTCATCGTTCCCCGCGTTGGCGTCAGCATTTTCACTCGCCATCATAACTTCAGTCTTCTGTTTGTGGTGAGATACGCAGAGAGAAAAACTCTGTCCGGATCCGGTTCACAGCAGAGGGCTAACTGTGTGAGCTAACGCCAAATCCCGCCAGCGTTAGCCTGGAATCCTTGCCCGGCGGAACTCCTCTAGGGGCCTTCACAGATATGTGCGAGAGAAAATCTGGTTGATATTCGAAAACAGTGCAGTGAAAATAAAGGCAGACTTCCAGCTGCAAAAACTCAGCAACAAATGGAAAACAGACGAGCTGAGAGCTACAGGATGTAGTCTCTGATAAATAAAACAGATCGTGTCCCTATTGGGTGACCGGTTGTTCTGAGCGCCCCCTGTGGTGGGAGGTAATTGCTACACTCCCAAGCTCATTATAATCAGAACTGAAAAAAATAAATCAGCCACGCTTCCAGTTTAGGGGTCACACCTCCTAACCCACCCAGCCACTTGGGTGTGGCTCTCAGTGTACTGTCCCAGCTTTCATGTTACATCCTGGAAAGTCTCCAGGGCACTTTTGCACAGTCTGCAATGTGAATCCTATTGGCCATGGTAGACTCCTGCCTCTGTGGATCTGCTCTTTAAGGCAGATCTGCTATGTGCTGTCTTTTAAGCTGGCCTTTTCTAGCCACTGATAGGATTTCTTAATATCACCCACTTCCTTTATGTGTCCTCATCACCGTTTGTCTTCTGCTGCCTAAGGCATTTTTGAGCAGCTCATTTCAGGGGTGCAGCTTCCTGATGTATTTGTGGACACACTGTGTTTAATTCTAGATTGTGGTTCCAAAATTCACGAATCCTTGCCCTTCCTCTTTCCATTGATTATAGAGACTGAGGGATTCTGGGCTTTGGGTGGAGACCTCTGTGCATTGTGAAGATTTTTCATATTGATATCAGTGGCATCAATCTCCTCCTCCCATGGTCAGCTTAATTTTTCTTTCTTTCTTTCTTTCTTTCTTTCTTTCAAAGCTTTCATATATCTTGTGTAATTCATATTTATACTTTGATAACTCATTTGTTTTCATATCTATCAAGTTATTTTTTTATTTTCTGATTCATTCGAGCTGCACACTGTAGGTTAGGCGAAAACAACAGTTCAGTCTCGTGTTTGTCCTGTACATATTGCAGAAGTGAGGGGGGGGGTCAGGTTACAGTTTTAAGCTTTACAGATTTTAGTAGGTTATTAGTAGGTTATTTTAGATTATTTTTTTTAAACACACCTGCATGTCTTTCTAGACTGGTTTATTTACATTCTCCACTTTTATTTTGGCAGATCTTACCGGAAGTCTTTAGTATTAATTATGACGGACATACAGGTTAGCTAGCAATAGCTCTAACCTCCATCTGTGTTTGTGGTTGAAGCGGTGGTTGGTAGTGATGGAGCCGTTATAGGTAAGACCGGACTGACTTTTTAAATATATATTTTTATGAAAGTATCAGTGTGATGCTTTTTTCCCCTTACAGCTATGATGCTAACGAGCTAGCAGGCGTTAGCCGCAGCACACTGGTCAGCTTCAGTGAGACAGATACCAGCCATCAACTGAACTATGATCACTCAGGAGGCCTTTACCTGATTGTTTTCATATCTCAACAAGGCTACATGCAGGTTAGATTTTTGAGGAATATTTGGTCTGGGGAATATCTAAACTTTACCTCTCTAAGTAATTCAGAAATTCTTCAAAAATCTAAATAAATTAAGTAGTAATTATTAAAAACAGACCCAGATTAGGAAAGTAGTCAATGGAATTGCCTGTGTGTTTATCTGCCAAGCACAAAGACTAAAGTGACATTTACAAATCGTTTTTTTCACATTGATATGAAATGAAGATATGCAGTTAGTAACTTTTATTCCTGTGCTAATACAGTTAATAGTATTTAAGTATATTTTTATATTTTCCTTTATTAGAGTAAATGTGAGAAATTCACGTATCTGTCGTCTGTACTTAAGACGTTATTAGGGCTCAAAAATTTGAGCTTTGGTGAATTAAAAACCAAATTTCACTCAGTTCGAAATGTTTTAACTTGGTTTGTGGTACAAAGATCAAATTTTGCATGGCTTCATGAAATATAATAAAGTTTTTGAACCTGCAAGCTGTAGTTTGTAGTAACTATTGTGATTTGCATACATAAAAATCTGTTTGTCAATCATGAATATGTACATATGAAAAGAAGATGTACAAAGTGTAGCAGAGACTTATGAGACTGAAGACTGCCAGTTTGAATAACCCAAGCATTTGGGAGTCTATGGAGTTGTTTTATTATTAACATTGTTAAATGAATGAGTGGAAAGGCAGTTGGTCTAATAACATACCGGAAGAGGTTTGGAGACATCTAGGGGAGATGGCCGTGTACTTTTTACCAGAGTGTTTAACAGAATCCTGGAGAGTGAGCGGGTGTCTGTGGAATAGAGAAGAAGCGTACCGGTGCATATTTTCAAGAATAAGGGTGATATGCAGAGCTGTAATAACTACAGAGGGATTAAGTTGATGAGCCATACCAAGAAGCTAGGTGATGATCAGTGAGCTGCAGTACGACTTTATGCTGAGAGAGAGCGCTACAGAAGCAATGCTTGCTTTGAGAGTGATGATGAAGAAGTGTAGAGGAGGTCAGAAGGAGTTGCACTGTGTGCAGAAGAGTGTGAGGGTTGTGCAGCACATGTATGTGGACAGCGATACAGTGGTGAGGTGTGTAGTAGGAGTGAGAGATGGGTTCAAGGTTGGGGTTGGATTACATCAGGGAAATCTGTGGACTGTGATGTTTGCAGGGACATTGGGATCTTTTCTGAGAGTAGGGTAGGAAGAGAACCTGGAGTGATGGAAGTACAGACAAGTACAGAATTATGAGCCCCTCTATGAAAATTTCATTTTAAGGGGGAGACAAGTGTAACATTGAAGCTGCAATGAGTAGAGATAAAAAGGTGGATGAGTTTACCATCCAAAGCAACAAAGAGTGCACAAGAGGTGAAGAGTGCTGTCAGGGTGGAGAGGACAGTGAGTGTCAGGGGGGATTTTTCACATTAGGATAGCAGCAAGGGTAAAAGGAAAGTTTACAAGTTGGTAGTGAGACCTGCAATGATGTATGGTTTGGAAGGGGCAGAGTTACAATGCTATTTGTTTGTCTCAAGGCTGAGATGGTTTGGACATGTGCAGAGTAGAGATACTGGATATACTGCACAAATGATGGTGATTATGGAGCTGCCAAGCAGGAGAAAAAGTAGAAGACCAGAGAAAAGACTCATGGGCGTAGTTAGGACTAGGGCTGCCACGATTAGTCGACTAGTCACGATTACGTCGACTATCAAAATCGTCGACGACT